TCCTTTCACTGACAGCTCGTCTTCAATAAGTGAAGACGATGGCTGGAGGCGGAACAGTGGAGGAGGCTTCTCCAACGTCTGCGGTACAGACGCAACGGCTTCCTAACACCACTTCCTGTCTGATCGTCTCTGTGAGGCCCAATCAGAAGGTTTGTCTCCGCCCAAACTGTCAAAACACATTTTCCTTCACGCAAGGAGCAAACCAGTCCGAGGTCAGAGGCGCTTTCGACAGCGCAGCCGTCTTCGAGCGTGACCGCTGGATAGAAAATCGTGCCCGNATCTGTAATGTTTTTAACATTTAAAGGGGAACGCTGTTTTTTTACCTTGGGCAAAGCAGAGTGTGTATGACATCATCAGCGCGCGCCGCCTGTCGGCTACCGTTCATTCTTTCTGTCTGCTGAACTGCTGCTAGTTTTCCTCACATGCCTGGAAGATGTCTAGTGCTGCTACTACAGATGATCTCGCTCTCCAGATGAACGATTCAGATTAGCTAGAATTAATAGTAGGGGTAGAGCGTAGCCGCCTGTGGCCCGGGCTGACTGTCACGACTCAAGTCCGGCGCGCGGATGACGTCATACACACTCCGCTTTGTTTTTTACTTGGATTACCAAACCGAATATCTTGAAAATGGCTCCAAATGGGTGAGTAGAACATGATGTAATAACGTAAAATGAAGGGGCCAATGAAAAAAAAACAGCGTTCCCCTTTAAGAGCAAAAGAGGGTTTTATTTTGGGGTTGTCCTTATTTATGCGTCAGAGCTCCTGCTGTTGGTCCTGATGGGTTTATAGACTAAATAAGGTAGAAATTCTTAGTTCTTATTGTCTGTTTACCGCAAAGATTGTAATGCTGCTCCATGATTCAGAGATTCTCATAAAGCAGAGTCAAAGAATCGGTTGTTGTTGTTTCTGTGTGCAGGTGTGTAACATCGTCCCCGGTCAGCGCTGCATTAAGAAGCTAACAGACAACCAGACGTCCACCATGATCAAAGCCACGGCGCGGTCTGCTCCAGACAGACAGGAGGAGATCAGCCGCCTGGTGAGAGCAGAACCAGAACACACACCATCCTCTCTGCAGGGTTTCAGGATCAACAGAAAGCTTTTACTACCGCCCCCTGCAGGTGAGGAGCGCCAACTACGAGTCGGACCCGTTTGTGCAGGAGTTCCAGTTCAGAGTGCGGGATGAGATGGCTCAGGTGACGGGCCGCGTCCTGCCGGCCCCCATGCTGCAGTATGGCGGCAGGGTGAGCTCTGAACCCTTTATGGTACCTTTCCTTTTAAATCACGCTCCACACACGCCCGCTTTAGGCTGAGAAGCTCACCTGGATTTCTCCACAGATGTTAGAGATAAAAAGACTCACAACATGTTGGAAAAGATACTTTGAATTAGACGTTTATTCAGAGTTATTTATTAACGAGACA